AGGAAAGATGTGCATCAGAGTTGTATCCTTTCACCATGCTTATTCAATCTGTATGCTGAGCAAATAATCTGAGGAGCTGGACTATATGAAGAAGGGGGCATCAGGATTGGAGGAGGACTCATTAACAGCCTGCAATATGCAGATGACACAACCTTGCTTGCTAAAAGCAAAGAAGACTTGAAGCACTTACTGCTGAAGAGCAAAGACTAGCCTTCAGTATGGGTTACACTTCAACATAAAGAAAACAAAAATCCTCACAACTGGACCAATAAGCAACATCATGATAAATGGAGAAAAGACAGAAGTTGCCAAGGATTTCATTTTACTCGGATCCACAATCAACACCCACGGAAGCAGCAGTCAAGAAATCAAACGATGCACTCCCCTGGGCAAAATCTGCTGCAAAAGGCCTCTTTAAAGTGTTAAAAAGCAAAGATGTCACTTTGAGGACTAAGGTATGCCTGACCCAAGCCATGGTATTTTCAGTCACCTCATATGCATGCATGAGCAGGTCAATGAAATAAGGAAGACCGAAGGATTGATGCCTTAGAATTATAGTGTTGGCAAAGATTATTGAATATACCATGGACTGCCAGTAGAACAAACAAATCTGTCCTGGAAGAAGTATAGCCAGAATGCTCTTTAGAAGCGACATGTTATTAGGAGGGACCAGTCCCTGGAGAAGAACATCATGAGTGACAGAGGGTCAGCGAAAAAGAGGAAGACCTTCAACAAGATGGATTGATATAGTGGCTGCAACAACGGGCTCAAATACGGCGATGATTGTGAGGATGGCGTAGGACCGGGCAGCATTTCGTTCCGTGTACACAGGGTCGCTATGAGTTGGAACTAACTTGATGGCACCTAACAACAACAACAATGCCAATGCCCTCTGCCTCAAGGGGGAGTCTGCCCCTCCACACAGCATTCTCTGGCTCACCCACTCAACCTTAAGCTTTCTCTTACCTTTGAATTCCCTCAGGCCCTGTAAACTGCCCTTTGTCCTTACAGCAATTACAATAGCGGGGGGCTGGTTTTTGGGCAGGGGGAAGGAGGTACTGTGTTAGGCTTCTCCTTCCCAGAGGCCTTTGGGACCTAGAATATGATTCAAATCTAGGGAGAACCAGACTCAAAGGGCAACCCTGGCATGTCCCCTGACAAATTCCTGATCTGTTAACACCATCCTCTCAACTGAGAAGTGTGCTGGACAGGCCAGGTCTTGCTTTAAGGTTCCTGAAGGGTTCCCAACATGAATGATACAGAGCTGTACCCTTGTGTGCCAGGGGATTATCCCTCTGATAAATGGAGGAGGGGCGTGACCACAGCCCCTTCACCACCAGCCACAGAGTCCCCGCACCTCCTCCTCTTGCTTCTCCTTGCGTTTGGTGTCAGAGGCATCAGCGTCCCCTTCCTCAGCTTCGGCATCCACAATGTGCCCCTCCTCTTCCTCGTCATTTTCCTGCTCCTGAGGTTTGGGGACAAGTAGGAAAGATTAGCTCCAGTATCCAGTGCTCAGTATATCCATCCATCCAGCCGTAATCGACATGGCAGGAAATGGATGGGGTTTACCCAACTACCCACCTACCCTTCTACTCACCCATCCATCTGCCTATCTACCTACCCACTCACCCATCATTGTATCTGCTTACCACTCTCTCAACTATCCGCCTACCTACCCATGCATCCACCTTCCACCGACCCACTCAACCAACTCAACCATCCATCCATCCATCCACCTGCTCTGTGCTTACCCCAGATCACATGTCTACTTTCCTTAAGTCCTCATCTCTACATGCACCATTTGCAAAGGCTTTCATTTTAAAAAAAGAAAAAATAAAGAAGTACCAGCCTTTTCAAGCCATTAAAAGAAGATGGCACAGCCCTCAAAATACTGTTCCAAAAATCTTTGATCAAATCAGTTACAGGTGGGGATGAGGAAGAAGAGTTTTTTTGGGGGAATACTGAGTACTTTAAATGCCAAGCATTTATGCCTTTCTCCTGACCTTGGCTCCTAGGTTCTTATAGCTTCCTTCTGTTAAAGGACAGAACTGAGAACATGTACTCTCTCAATGACAGTCCATGCCCGTTTGTGCTTTGGTAGGGCAAGAGAGCGCCAGCATTCTCTCTGGTCTAGACTGGCCCCTCATTTTAGGGGTGAGGAACTGACAAAGCTCGGACCACACAGCCTATCGCTACACAGCTTTATGAACCACTGGCTCAGACGACATGTGGGACTCAGCTCCCCACACTACACCTCAGGTCTGGCCGTCCCTGGGTCTCCTGGCAGATGTGATACTTCTAGACTATTTTGCTTACAATGGCTTTTCCTTGGCTCCTTCCCTTTTCTGCACTGCACCCAACTTTACACTGCCTCTTCTAGTCCCTGCCAGTCCCTTGTGGGCCTCAGTTCATCTGGCCTGGGGAAGTCAGGCAGAGCAAACTGGGACCGGAAAGAAACTTTTAAAGCCCAGCATGTGCCACGACTCTGAGCTGATCCTCAGGATAAAAACCACTCAGAGGCATCCTTGACAGCAGACAGACAGATGACCCAGAGCCCTCATCTTGGGCAGATCAGATCATGCTGTCTAGTAGTCTCCCCTGCCTGGCCATCACGCCCAAGAAGTAAACGTTGCTTCCTGGCTCTCTCAAGAGGGCAGATAACTGCCAAGGTAAGAGATGTAGGCCCACACTAAAGGGGGCTTGAGGAGTGTTGAGAGCACTACCACAGAGCCTTCCCGGGAGAAGAGACAGAGCAGTCACTGCCCTGGGCCCCCAGCCCTGTGATTGCCCTTGGGGGGCCTTCCTGGGGCACTCACTCACCCGATTCCTCCTTGACTCCCCAGCGTTGTCCAGATCCTGCTGGGTAGCTCTTCGAGTGTTTACACTTCTGAAAGCTGAAGCTTTAATATTCTTCTTTCTGATGGATTCCATCAGAAGTTTAAAAAATCTAAAACGAGAAGGAAGCAATACAGCCTGTTCAGTACCAGCCTTTCCATCCTCCCTCGTTGCAGAAGTAGGTTGTTCTGTTCAAGAATCGCACACCCTTCTCGGGCAATGCTGAGGAATTCTTCAGGGGATTTATAAACGAAACAGAGGCCCAGCCTCTTCCTCTCTGCCCACTTTTTCTCCTCTTGCCATTTCTGAATGGCATACATTTGGCCTGTCAGAGAGAACACAGGCTCCAGAGCCAGATGGACCTGCCACTCCTGGGCGGCTAGCTTCGAGCACATCAGGTGGCCTCTCAGAGCACTACACGCCTTGTCTATAAAATGTGGGTGTTGATGTGTATTTTCAGGAAGAAAGGCCTGGCGATCTACTACAGACATCAGCCAATGCAAACCCTATGGAGCACAATGGTCCCGTTGTACACGGGGTCGCCATGAGTCAGGGCTGACTCGATGGCAGCCAACAGGTACGATAACGTGCATCTCACAGTCTCATTCTATGGATTGGAAATCACCCTGCATCGGCAGTGAGGGGGGTGCTCAATCAACCGCAGCAAGGACGGCGGGGCCTGCTGCAGAAGGAGCCTCAGGTCGGGATCAGATCGCTCCCCTGCCGTGCACCTTGGCGTGGGAGGCCTGACAACTGAAGAAAGGACTAGGGCTGTGGAAAAGCTCATCAGAACCTCAAAGGGCAGCGCTAACTTACTTTGTAGCAATACATCTTGCCAACAGGTCAGAACAAAACCAATTTAAAAGAACCAACCTGCTGCTAAGAACCTGGGGAGCCTTTCCTGGCCCCTCACCCCCTCATCAGAATTATCTTTTTTTATGCTCCCTTATCGCCCCCTATTCCCTCCCGTGTTTCTTTGCTCATGTAACCTCTTGGCTGTCTTTATCATCAGGCCATAACAGTATTCCAAAACGGGCGGTTTTTTATTATATGAAGTATCAGGTCCCCACTCCATCCACTCAGTATTCTCTGAGCCCCTATACCTGTAACATGCTACCGTGGCAGGCAAGGTGGGAGGTAAAAGCAAAGATGAACAGATGGCCCCTGTCCCTCAAGGAGCTTAGTCTTAACTTGAAAATCAGGCAAGTCAAATGCTTAGAGTTTGCTCATTAAAAACAATTTTGTTTCAATTTTTATTTTTCAAAATTTTATTTTATTTTTTATTGTACTTCAGGTGAAGGCTTACAGAACAAATAGTTTCTCATGAAACAGTAGTACACATATTGTTTTGTGACATTGGTTAACAACCCCACAACATGTCAACCCTCTCCCTTCTCGACCGTTATTTTTTTTGGTGAAAATATACATAGCCAAAGATACACCATTTCAAAAATTTCTACATGCAGAGTTCAGTG